CTCGTGGAACTCCCACGCGCGAGTGCCACGCGCCCCATCGCTCGGCAATTGCCATGCTGTCGCTGAGATCGGCGACCACCCCGCTTGCAGTAGGTAGAGGATTACCCACGACAGGGCGCCTCTCACGCGACTGCCCCCCTGGCCCTCGGGAGCCCCGCCAGGCCCTGGACAGCAACAGGCCGCGCCCCGGTGGAAGAGTTGCGCAGTGCTGAATCCCCAAGCCAGGCTGCAATTCATTGCAGAAGACAAGGGCGAGGCAGGACGACGGCGGGATCGCCCCCAGGCAGGCGGCGCGACAGCAAGGCAAGGTGCCGCGGCGCCAACGCGGCGCCTGTGCGCCAACAAACTGAACCAGAACACCCGTGCACTTGACGCCCTTTGGCCGCGGCTGCCCGTGGACCTGCACGCTGGGCCTGCGCCGCGGACTGCCAGCGTCGCGCCGCGCGGGCGAGGCGGCGCAGGCGGGCGCGCGACTGGCCAGCACTGGCCACGCGGTTCCCCGCGGCGCCCCCAGTCTGCCAGCGCCCGCTGCCGACGTCGACGCCGAGGTGCGACGCCTGCAAAATTGCCTTGACCACCACGCCCTTGGACTTGAGCTATTCGGCGGCGCGCGCACGTGGCCGCGCTCTTCGGGGCGACGTCTAAATTGAGCTTCCGACACTCACGCCCTTTACTCATGCCGGCCTTCACTTGGGCGCGCCTCGCGCGCCGCCTCGACCCCCCCCCCCCGAAAAACCGTCGACCCGGGTCATCTCCGACATCGACGGGCGAGCGACCGAGAGCTTCTTGCACACGAAGGCTGCGAGGCATTCGGCGAACCCAGCGACGTCCCTGGAGCCCTGGGCGACGGACTTGGAGGTCTGGAACAGCATGCGCACTGCCTCCAGTTGCGTCGAGAGACGAGGCGCCAAAAACATCTGAACTTCCAAGAAGGGCACCCTCAGCGAGAAGCCCTTATCGAGGGCGCCCGCGTGGACATCTCGATCCCGTCGTAGAAAGTCTCCACGTCCAACGGGGCCTGGAGCGCCCTGACGAACGCCTCTCTCCAGGCGCCGTTGCCCGCGACGGCCGCGCCCCAGTAGTCGCCCAGATCCGCAGCCCAATCGCGAACGAGGCCCCCTGTGGCCATCGACCGCGCGCGGCAGGACACGGGCAGCAGCCCGACGCAGCGGTCTCCGCGGGACTTCTTGCTGAGCAGGCGCCCCAGCGCGCGCGCTCGGCCTGCCGCGGCCACGCGAGGCCCTCCTCGGCCTCGCGGAAGAAGCCGCACAGCTCCCGGACGCCCTTGCCGGGCAGGCGAGCGAATTCCGCGGGCGACAGACGATCGACGCCCATGCCCGCCCGCGCCGTCATCCGGGAAAGCGCGCCCTTGACCGCCTGCGCAGCGAGCGGCCCCAGCTGCTCGGCGTCGGCGCGCGCGCGGTCGCGCGCGCGGAGAATCCCCTCATGGGCGGCGCTGCTGGATCGCCAGATAGACTGCCGCCGCTCCACCACCTCGCCGACGACGTCTGCTGGGCGCGCGCCAAGCCCAAGCCGTCGACGCGCAGCTCGCCTCGCTCGGGCCCGGGGCCCTCGATGGACCCCAGCTCGGCACCAGCGGACGAAGCGATCCAATCTTGAACGTTACGCAGGGAGCTGGAGGTTGTCATGTTCTACGCGCGCCGCGCCGACCGCAAGGCGACCTCCTCTAGAGACACAAACAACGTCAAACCGAACTCCCCAGGCAACCCACGCAGCCCACTATGCCATGTCACCACCGGACCGTCAGCGAACGCAGCACCTGCCCCATCCAAAGGGCGATCCGCCAAGCACTGCGCCGCACAGCTGAGATGCGAAAGTCGTCGCGCACCGTTCCGCCGCCGACGACGCCGAGCTGTCTGCTTGAAAATGGCGTGGCCCCGACGCCACCACGCGGCGACTCCGCCTCGAAATGGCTGCTGCCAGATGCGAACTGCTTGCTTCGCTGAGACCACCGCGACTTCGACGCCTGCATCTCGTGACCGAAGGGGCGGAGCCAGCTCCCGGTGCGTCGAGATCGCGCGCTCACCTGACCGGTAACATGCGCCGGCGGCCCGCGGCGAAAACAAGCGACTGTCCAGCGGGCTGCCAAGCGCCACGCTGAGAGCTCGAGCGCCAAAGAGCCCGAGCAGAGAGCGACGCCCACGGAGAAGAGGGAAGAGCGAAAGCGGGGAGGGCGGCACAGGCATCGGCAGCGAGGCAGGCGAGACCACCCCCACCATTAGCCGCGCTGAGGCCCGAGCCACCCGGGCGCTCGACTGCGGCCCCCAGATCATCCCCCGACCCGACTCTAGCAGCGCCCTCTCTCGAAGTGGGCCTTGAAACCTTTTCCCCGGCGACGATTCGCCTGCCGCAGTCAGACATGGCTCCATCGACTGTGACGCTAGCTGGATGAAAGCAAGACTCCCAGGCACAAGGCCCAAACCCCTCCCCAAACTCCTCGAAAACCTCAGCGCGAAGCTCCCAGCTGGGAGGATCGGAGCCGACGTCGGGCCCCCCCCCCCAGGATTGGGAGAGACGGGAGCCTCGGACCACTGGGCAACAGGATTCCCGGAGGCCTTGGACCTGTCCCCAGCAAAGACGACCGAGAAAAGTTGGTCGCATTCTGCGCGGACGCGCCCCCTAGCGAGAGCGACTCGCTCCTGCTGCCGGGCCCGAGCCCCACTGGCCTTAGACCCCTCGATGGGACAGGTAGACGGCCGCGGGGCCGACAGCGCGAGGCAGCGAGTGGGCGGCGAGAGAGCAACTGCTCGCCTACACCGCGCAGCCGAAGCTTGGGGGCACATCGTGGGCGCCATGAAACGTCTGTTCTAGCTGTCAAACTGCGGATACAAAGAGGAGCGCTTCCAGATGCCATCAACAAATCGATATGCAAGTTACGTGCACTCCCGACGTATGCGTGTTTTCAATGTCGGATTGACGGATGTGGCGTTGTACTCTTTTCACAAATTCAGAACGGCAAAACAGCGCAACATCATGATTGAAAACGCCGAGGACGATCGACAGCAACTGGGCATTGGACGATCGACGATCGACGAGGACGATCGACTGCAACAGAGCACCGAGAGGAGCATACCCCTGGGCGTTGGCCCCAGTGAAACAAAGCGAGAGGCGTGCATAAAAAATGGTGAGAGCATTGAAGCCTCGAATATGCACGACAGCGGGCATCAACCCACCGAATGAGTTCGACCCGTCGGCGCTGAAGGCAGACGCCTCAGAGGTCTTGCCGAACAGCCTGTGGACACTGCGGTGGCCTGGCGCGAGAATGACCTCTCCTCCCTCGCTGGCCCTGACGACCCCCGCTGCCGTGGTCCCGCTGCTGGTGCTCCGAGCCGCGTTGCCCCGGTACGTCCATTTCATCGATCGAGACTTCCTCGCCACGTGAGTGAAGCCCCGCGCGAGTCTCGACCATCCCAACGAGGTCGCACTGGCGCATAAACTCTTTGCATCCAACGTGACCCCACGATTTGGTGCCCAGGCGCGTAGTGTTACTAAAGAGCATGGTGAAAACGCCCGAGTCCTGGGCGGCCTCGGCTGCACTGTCTACTCCGCGCGGTACAGCGCCCGCGGCAGCATCCTGAGTTCCCTCTGGCGCCGTCGGCGCCCTCCCTGATTCGGCCGAAGATGCCGATTTTCTTGGCGGGAGCGGGCGATCACTTGCCCTTGGCGGCGGCGCCGCTTGCGTCCGCGGCGGGAACGCCATCGGCGCCTGCCGCCTCCGCCGCCTACGCCGCCGCCCCCGCCGCCTCGCCAGCGGCGCGCGCCTGTCTGATGCGCTCCATCTCCGCCTGGACGTCGCCTTCGGAGAGTCCTGGCTGCGCCGACTGCTGCGCCGAGGCCGTGCCCGAAGCCGCCGCCGCCGCCGTGCCGCCTCCAGCTTCGCCTTGACCGACGTCGTCAGTCTTGCGTTTCTTGGCCATCCGTTCCCAGATGACCTTCTTGAGCTCGCCGATCTTCTGCTTCCACATCGCGATGTCGGCCGACTTCGCCGCCAAATGGTTCTTGGTGGCGATGGATTCGGACTCAAACTTTCGGAGCGCCTCATTCTCCGGCTGGTCCCGCTTCACCTCGTCCAACTTCGCGAAGAAGTCAGTGTCCAAGGTGAAATCGACCACGTCTGCCTGGGTCTGGCTGCCCCCGTTGCCGCCGTCGCCCGCGGCGTTGATCCCGAGTTCCTGCGCCAACGCCTTGGCCGCCGTCCTCTTGCTGATCTCCACGGTCGCGAGCACCCGCAGCGCCTCCGCCTCCTTGGCGAGGGCACGCTCGAGGTTCTCGCGGCACCGCCTCACGCGACTCGCCGCCTGCTCGCAGCGGAGGGAGGCGTCCGTCCAGGCTCCTTCTGCCCTCCTGACCACCTCCGCGGGCAGCACCGGCGCAGCAGAGGCAGGCTCCTTGACCGTCTGCTCTACCTGCTGCGCCTGCTGCTCAAGCCATTCTTCACATCAGGATCCTTCACCGCCTCGATGGCCTGCGCCAGCAAGCTCGAGACCGTGGGACGTGACTGCAAGGCGCCCTCGAGCTTGGGCTGCGGCTGGTGGTCCTTGTCCCTACGAGGTTTGTGCAACTTCAGTGGTCGAATTCACTTGCAGCACTTCATATGTGCCTTGGTGAGCACGTCATTGTACTCGCACGTGTTGCAGGCTCTGCATGTTGACCATAGGCGAGACATGGTTCACAGGGCGAACCTTTTCGCCAGCAGGACTGATCACAGAACGAGGGTGTGAAAAGTCCGCTGCCGCTCAAGCTCTTCGTGGAAGTGAGGGGTCTTGGCTCTAGCCCTCAACAAAATGATGCGCTCGAGCCAATATGTGCTTGAGGAGGGAGAAGGGAAAAGGGAGGACGGAGGAGGGACGAGGGAGGAGAAAAGGACGGGGGACAGAGGAGGGAGGACGGAGGAGGGACGAGGAAGGAGGAAGGAGGGAGGATGTAGAAGGGAGGAGGGACGAAAGAGGGGTGAGGGGAGAGGGAGGAGGGAGGAGGGCCTCCGTCAGGAAGTGGTCGGTGAGCATGACAATGCAGGGGTGCTTCAGGTTGCGCATCAGCTCCACCTCCTGGAAAGCGAGGCTGTGCTCCTGCCAGAGAGGTCGGCGTCGTCGTCGTCGGAGAAGGAGAAAGATAAGGGAAGGAGAAAGATAAGGATACAAATGCTGAGAAGGAAAAGGAGAAGGCGGAGCGCAAACAACAGAGCGTTCTCCTCATCTGCCCTCCCCTCGGCCTCCATAGCGGTGGCGGCAGCACCAACCGAGCCTCGAAATGATTGAGCATCGAGGAGGGTTCGCTGCAGACCCCGCGCTGAAAGTCACGTCAGGGAAGGTGAATGAGAAGGACAAGGACAAGGACAAGGACAAGGACAAGGACAAGGACAAGGAGGCGCTGCCCTTGAAGGAAGAGGAAAAGGGAGAAAGCGAGGAAAGGAAGAGGATACAGGAAAGGAGGGGGAACAGAGGAAGGGGGAAGATTGGAGGGCGAAGAAGATTTTGCAGGAGAGGGGCACAAAGGAACAATAACTTGCCCCAGCTGGCCTCGACAGGCGGGATGGTCGGGAGCGGCCAAGAGGCGGGTGTCCCAGAGGAGGGGGTGCAAATCATGACCGGCGGCACGTGCGCGGCCCAGCGGGGGGGCCAGGGACGTAATGGAATGAGAAGAGGCGCCATGAAGTCTGGGGAGATACCATGGCTCACGCCATGATATCCACCCCCCCCCTAGTCATCACCCCCCTCTCTGCCGCCCCCGAGATGGGCGGGCCAGCCCCGACCAGCGGGTCGGGCGGGCGGGCCCTGGCGGGCGGGTCGGGCGCGGGAGGGCCTCCAGGCGCGCGAGCGGGCAGACCCTGACGGGCAGGGGCGGGCCCTCCCGGGCGGGCAACGCGGGTGGATCCTAACGGACTGGGCGGGCGCAGAGGAAAGAGAGCTCTGCACACACACCGATTCTGGCCAGGCCCATCCTGAGCCCAGGATCGGTGCACACGCCCTCCTACCTTGGCTTGGACCCTAACGTCAGGAGCGAAAGAAGGACGTACACGTACATGCATCCACGCTGGTTTCGAGAGTTCGCATTGCGCGAATGTTCGTATCACGCGGCCGGTCTCGCGGGTCACGGGGCCGTGTTCATGTACATAGCTGAGCGCGTACGTCCTTCGTGGGCTCCCAATTACGGACTGGGCGGGCGGGCGGACCCGAACGAGCGGCTCTGGCGGGACACTGGCGCGGGCGCGGGACACTGGCTCTTCCGAACAAGCGCCGACCTTTACGAGCGGGTCGATCGGGCGGACGCTAACGGGCGGGCCGGGCGGGCGGGCCGGGCGGGAGGGCCTCAACGGACGGGGCGGACCGGGCGGGCGGGGCATCGAGGCGGACTGCGTAATTGCGGAGAGCACGAATGCTGAGTAAATTGCGAGCCCCAAGACAGCCCAAGACGCCCCCGAGAGAGAGGCCCAAAGAGGTTTCCAAGAAGCCCCCCATGAGGCTCCCAGGAGGCCCCACCACAACTTAACTATACGTGCTCCGGACGTGCACCCCAAGAAGCGACAGGAATCCACGTCTGGAAGAAATATGTTGCCGCAGGCAGGTCGGGCGAACGCCGAAATGCAGCGCATGCAGGGCATTCCTCTCGCTTCGCGGGGTGCACGCTCAGAGCACATGAAGACTGGGCGTTGGGTGGTTTGCCCTGCTCGTCTGTCGCGCCGTTCTGCCGTGTCACTCTGCCTGCATCGGGGCGCTACGAACAAGGGCAGATGCTCCTTCCGTGTTTCAGGGCTGGGACGAGCGTGCAAATGTCCACGCGGGCGATGAGCATTCACCGCGCGTCAGCAACGGCAACGCCAAGTTCAAATTTCGATGAGCACTGCAACAGCCCACCATTCGCGTTCGATTCCGCAGGCCTCTTGGTGGCTTCTTGGAACCATTTGGGGGCTTCTTGGGGGCTTCTTGGGGGCCTCTTGGAAGTTTATTGGGAGCCCCTGGGGGCCTTTTGGGCGCTTCTTTGGGGCCTCTTGGGGCCTCTTGGGGGCCTCTTGGGCCGTCTTGGGGGGGGGGGTGCGCCGTGTGGCACCTTCGGAGGCCATCTTGGGGCCTCTCGGGGCCGCCTTGTGGCTCACTTGGGGGATCCTCTTGGGCCGTCTTGAGGGCCTTTTTTTTCTGGGGGGGGTGACGCGCCAACGCTCACATCGCTCCGTGATCACCACGGCCACTTCGCTCGGGCGACGATTCAACCCGCCACGGCGAGCTGGTCGGTCACCTACATATGTGGCGCGCAAACTTGCGGGCAGAGCTGGGCAGGTGAGTCGCATACCTCCCGCCCCGCGTCTCGTTAAAACCATCGTGCCCAATAAGACGGCGACAAGATCCCCAGCAAGGTATCGATAGAGCCTCCAGAGCCCTTGCGAGAAACTCAACCCGGCACATCGCAAAGGAAGCAATGAGTCTCCCGCGTGGCTTGCACGGCGACCCTGGCCGTGCTAGACACCGTAACGTGACGCACATCGACGCGGCACAGATTGTTCTGGGCATCACCTGCGACCCCATCGCAGAGCGGCGATGGAAACCAAATCTGTGAATCTCACTTCTGCCAGCCGCCGGCGCGCCATCGGGCGAGCGTGGCGTCTCTCCGAGGGGGGAGGCCGGCAAGCTCGATCTCCGCAGCGAAGATCAATGCTGGAAGGGCCTCGAAACCAGATGCCAATGCTCGCTGGGTCAATGCGTCTTCAGCACCTTGCTGGTCCACACACACCAGTTGAGCACGAGCGCGCCGATCGCAAGGCCAAGGCACAAAAACTTCAGGATCGAACACCAGTGGCCGTGCGCCCACAAGTTGTACACGCTCGGCTCGAAAGCCTCGGCAGCAGAGCTGGCAAATCCGAGGTCCACGGCCCTGGTGGCGGAGAGGAGGCAATAGATGACGGCGTTTTCGAGGACGTCCAACACTGCGGCGAGCACGCCGAAGACCCAGACTGAGGATGCCGGATACGCGCGGGAGAGCAAGAGGTAGAGGAGCGGGCCAAAGCCAGCGATAGGGAAGAGGAGGTCGACCAGGTTAAACCTGGCGTAGGCGCGGCGCCCCTCCACGCCCATAGCCCCAAGACGCTCCGCCGCGTTCTCTACGGTCCAGGAGAGGTCGACGTCGAGCGTATAGAGCGGGGACCCGTCGGCGTTCGCGGTAAGCATGATATAAGCCATCGTTCCATACAGAAGCGCGGAAGACGCCCCGAAGACCCAGATAATGCTCGACATGGCAGGAGCGCGCGGGGGTTAGGATGCTTTCAAAGCCAAAGCAGAAACCCTTGAGCCAAAATGGCTTGAGCCAAAATGGCTACGGAGGGGCCGTCTTGAGGGCCTCTTGAGCCGTCTGAGGGGCCGCTATGGGCCATCTTGAGCTCTCTTTCGGGCGAACGCCGCAATGCAGCGTATCCAACGTATCACACTATCCTGGCGAAGGACCCAACCATATGCAATTGTGAAAACTGCAATTGTGAATATCTTCTCGGTGGAGCCCCCTACGGGACCACGAAACGTACGAGGGGTGTGCCGAAATGGGTGTGCGGGACGCATGCGGGCACACCCATTGGGGCCTTCGGTGGAGCTCTCTATGGGGCCACGAAACGTGTGAGGGGTGTGCCGAAATGGGTGTGTGTGGGACGCATGCGGGCACACCCACTGGGACCTTCGGCGGAGCTCCCTATGGGGCCACGAAAGCGTGAGGGGCGTGCCGAAATGGGTGTGCGGGACGCATGCGGCGCGGGCACTGGGGCCTTCGGTGGAGCTCCCTATGGGGCCACGAACGTGTGAGGGGTGTGCCGGGGATGGGTGTGGGGACGCATGCGGGCGGCGGGCACTGGGGCCTTCGGTGGAGCTCCTATGGAGCCACGAAACGTGTGAGGGGTGTGCCGAAATGGGTGTGGGTGACGCATGCGGGCGCGGGCACTGGGGCCTTCGGTGGAGCTCCCTATTGTGGGAGCCACGAAAAGTGTGAGGGGTGTGCCGAAATGGGTGTGGGGACGCATGTGGGCGCGGGCACTGGGGCCTTCGGTGGAGCTCCCTATGGAGCCACGAAACGTGTGAGGGGTGTGCCGAAATGGGTGTGGCTGACGCATGCGGGCGCGGGCACTGGGGCCTTCGGTGGAGCTCCCTATGCAGCCACGAAACGTGTGAGGGGTGTGCCGAAATGGGTGTGGGTGACGCATGCGGGCGCGGGCGCTGGGGCCTTCGGTGGAGCTCCCTATGGGGCCACGAAGCGTGTGATGGGTGTGCCGAAATGGGTGTGGGTGACGCATGCGGGCGCGGGCACTGGGGCCTTCGGTGGAGCTCCCTATGGAGCCACGAAACGTGTGAGGGGTGTGCCGAAATGAGCGTGGGTGACGCATGCGGGCGCTGGCACTGGGGCCTTCGGTGGAGCTCCCTATGGAGCCACGAAACGTGTGAGGGGTGTGCCGAAATGGGTGTGGGTGGCGCATGCGGGCGCGGGCACTGGGGCCTTCGGCGGAGCTCCCTATGGAGCCACGAAACGTGTAAGGGGTGTGCCGAAATGGGTGTGAATGGCGCATGCGGGCGCGGGCACTGGGGCCTTCGGTGGAGCTCCTATGGAGCCACGAAACGTGTGAGGGGTGTGCCGAAATGGGTGTGGGTGACGCATGCGGGCGCGGGCACTGGGGCCTTCGGTGGAGCTCCCTATGGAGCCACGAAACGTGTGAGGGGTGTGCCGAAATGGGTGTGGGTGACGCATGCGGGCGCGGGCACTGGGGCCTTCGGTGGAGCTCCTATGGGGCTACGAAACGCTGTACTGGGTGGGTGAAACGCAGGGAAGAGGGGGAGGAGGGAGGGGGCAGCGGGAGGAGGAGTGAACGCGGGGCGCTGTCTCTTCAAAACGAGGACCCAACACCACAGGATGGTTGGGAAATAAAAAATGTTGGTACATGTTGTAACATTGTAAATTAACACGTGCCCCCCCCCCCAAGCCCCACATCCTGGCGCCAGGCCACTTCCACCGACACAAAGGATGGCGGATCCCCATCTGGGGCTCCAGAATTTCCACACACACACACACACACACACACACACACAAAAAAAAAAATAGCCTGGCGAAGAACCCAACCATATGCAGTTGTCAGTACCGCAGCTGCGGGTTTCATCTTCAATGGAACTCCCCATAGGATTACGGAACGTGTGAGGGGTGTGCCGAGATGGGTGCCGCTGGGGCATTCGGCGAAGCTCCCTATGGGGACATGAAACACGCGCGGGGCGTGCCGACATGGGTGGCGGAAACGCATGTGCGGGCCGCCACTGGGGCCTCCAGTGGAACTCCCTATGGGTCCCCGAAACATGATGCTGCTGCGGGGGGGGGGGCCGGGATGGGTGGCGGAGACGCATGTAAGCGCCGCTACTGGGGCCTTCGGTGGAGCTCCCTATGGGGCCACGAAGCGCGTGATGGGGTGTACTGGAATGTGTGGCGGGGACGCATGTGAGCACCGCCACTGGGGCCTTCGGTGCAGCTCCCTATGGGGCCACGAAACGTGTGAGGGGTGTGCCGAATTGGGTGCGGGTGGTGACGCATGCGGGCGGTGCCACTGGGGCCTTCGGTGGAGCTCCCTATGGGGCCACGAAACCTGCTGTTGTGAGGGGCGTGCCCGGATGGGTGGCGGGGACGCATGTGAGCGCGGCCGCTGGGGCTTTCGGTGGAGCTCCCTATGGGGCCACGAAACGTG